CGGGGATGAGGGGGGGCGGGGCCTTGGCCGTGCGCACCCGCCACGTGGCACAGGGCGCCGTGTGTGCCTCTGCAGGAGAAGCTGCAGCATCGACAGGTCTCCGGGCGCCAGCTCGCTGGGCTCCCCCGCCTCCCAGCGCAAGGACCTGGGGCGCTCCGAGTCCCTCCGCGTGGTCTGCCGACCGCATCGCATCTTCCGGCCCTCGGACCTCATTCACGGGGAGGTGCTGGGCAAGGGCTGCTTCGGCCAGGCCATCAAGGTACAGGGCACGCTGGGGCGGGTGGGCAGCGCAGGTTGAGCGAGACCCTCAGTCCCCCTTCCTCCCCGATCGGTGATCACACAGTGGAAGGAGTGTCTGGTTTTTAGACTCCCTTGCCACTATAGATAGACCGAAACTTTTTGCAAAGGAGGGTGTTGAAGGGTGGCCCCTTGGGGTGGGCCATGGGAGTGAAGGGCAGCCCAGACTGGCCCGGAGGTGCCCCCCAGAGCACTCTGCGGAGCCCAAGACCTCCCACCATGGCCTCCAGACTGCTTACTTCTCAGGGACGTATGCTCTTCCCTGGCTCTGATGTCACCCGGCTGTGAGCAGACTGGAAGGGGCAGAGTTATGCAAAATGTGCGGGTCAGGCCGTCCAGCTGTCCAGACAGGCCCAGGGCCCCCACCCCATTCTGGTCCTCTTGCCAGGCAAGGTTTCCCTGGCCGTGCTGCTATTCAGCCTCCAGGAAACAGGCCCGCAGAGCAGAGAGCTGGCCTGGGTTCACTGGCTTGGACCTGAGTCCCAGCAAACCCTCTTCCCTGCAAGTGGGTGACCTTGGCCCTTTTGGAAGACTCTCAGAGCCTCGGTTTCCTGAGCTGTAAAAGGATAATACGTCCCACCATCTTGGGTGTCTGGGAGCATCCCACAAGAGGTCCGAGGAGCTTGAAGCCATCTATCCATCTCCCTGGCAGCCCCAGGCCGGGGATGGGAGCCTCCTACAAGGCGAGCTTATGGCAGAGCCTCTGTCTGTCCTGGGTGTTCACGTCTCTGTGTCCCCCGTGCAGGTGACACACCGCGAGACAGGCGAGGTGATGGTGATGAAGGAGCTGATCCGGTTCGATGAGGAGACCCAGAGGACGTTCCTGAAGGAGGTCAGTGAGTGGAACCCTCCCACCCCTGGGGACCCAACTTCTGGGTCCCCACACCCTTCCCTGTTGAGATGGCTCTCAAGCCACCTGAGGAAAGAAGAGACAGTATCTGCCAGGAGGGTGGCGGGGAAGGTATTGCTGGGCTGGGAGCGGGAGGGCTGCGGGCTCCTCGTCTTGGGGGCCCCCGTGGCCTCTGGTGGGGTGGAGGAGGCAGAAGCAGAGGTGGGCACACTTGGACCAGGCGGAGACGCGCTCAGCCTGCCTACGCGCCCCCAGGTGAAGGTCATGCGATGCCTGGAGCACCCCAACGTGCTCAAGTTCATCGGGGTGCTCTATAAGGACAAGAGGCTCAACTTCATCACCGAGTACATAAAGGGGGGCACCCTCCGGGGCATCATCAAGAGCATGGTGAGTCCTGGGCAGAGCCCCTGCCTGCCGCACCCCTAGCCAGCTCCCCTGTGGGCTTCAGTCTCCTCGTCTCTCTAGTGCAGACGGGCCGCAGGGGTCTCAGAGGCCTCTGAACACTGATTCTGAAGCGGGTAGGAGAGCCGCCGGCCGATTCCATCTAATGCCGGGAAGAAGCGGAGGCCCAGGGAGGGCGGTGACTCCTCCGAGGGGACGCATGGCTGTCTCAGGTTGGCCACCCTGCAGGCCCTTGGGCCCTGCCTCAGGGCAGCCAGAGCCAGTTAGCACTCCACGGAGGGCCTTTGTGTCTGGCAAAGCGAAATCGCTTTTCCTGCTTAACGCAGTCTGTACAATCGAACCTTTCTTTAAGGCTTTGGATAAAATGACAAACCCACCTTAAGAAAGTGCTGGAAGGAAGCCTCACGGGAGCGCACCCCAGGATCCAGTCCTGGCTTCCAGCCCCACCGCAGGATCTCCCTGAGACCACGGGATCTTGGGTCCTGTTCGTCTCCCCCCCGCCAGCTTCCACATCCTCACTTCCTCGGGTTGGGGTTCTGCCCAGAGCGTGAGCCTGTGGGCCTCTGCCAGGTGTAGCCTCAGCAAGGGCTGTGTGGTCAGGCAGCGATGGAGAACAGCGGCTACACCCAGCAAGGAGTCCTCGCTGCACCTGTCTTTAGATAGGCTCCGAGACCCTGGCCCTGGCACATGAGGTCTGTGAGGGGTGGGGGATAGAGAACGAGGTGTCTCCCCAAGTGATTTGCATCCACAGGCCCGCTCTCCTGGCTGGCTCTGTGCTGCCGCTCCCCAGGTGGCCTCGCCGTGCTTTCTGTCTCTTGCCTGATATGGGGGTAGGTTCAGATTTTTTGGAAACATGGAAAGATGGCCGGGCTCAGTGGCTCCACCTGTCATTCCAGCAGTTTGGGAGGCCGAGGCGAGTGGATGGCCTAAGCCCATGAGTCTGAGAGCAGCCCAGGCAACTTGGCGAAACCTCATCTCTATAATAAACAAATAAATAAGTTAGCCAGGTGTGGCAGCATGCACCTGTAGTTCCGGCTACTTGGAAGGCTGAGGCAGAAGGATCGCCGGAGCCCAGCAGGTCGAGGCTGCAGTGACCCGGAGCGGCCACTGCACTCCAGCCTGGGCGACAGAGTGAGACTCCAACTCCAAAAAAAAAAACCTGAAAAGATGGGATTTTATAGAAGATAAATATAGCTTTTTTTTTTTCCTCAGAGAAGGCAGATTGGGAGGAGTATCCCCTCTTCTTAGTGTTTGAAATTCGTTCTGTTAGAAAATGACATTTTGAGCCGGGCTTGGTGGCTCAGCCTGTAATCCCACGCCTTTGGGAGGCTGAGGTGAGTGGATTGCCTGAGCCCGCGGGTTCGTGACCCGCCTGGGCAACTTGGCGAGACCTCATCTCTACAGTAAATCAAAAATTAGCTGGGCGTGGTCGCGCGTGCCTGTAATTCTAGCTACTTGGAAGGCTGAGGTGGAAGGATCGCCAGAGCCCAGCAGGTCGAGGCTGTGGTGGCCGGGAGCGGCCACTGCACTCTAGTCTGGGCAACAGAGTGTGACTCCAACTCAAAAAAAACAAAAAGAGAAAATGACATTTTGGACCAGGCACAGTGGCTCACGCTGCAGTGAGCTAGGGTCATGCTACTGCTCTCCAGCCTGGGAGACAGAGTAAGACTCTGTCTCTAAAAAGAAAGAAAAGAAAAGAACTTGACATCTCTGAGTTGTTTACCCATACCTCTTAGAAACAGACCTCTGTGGATGCCAAAGTGGGGGAACATTGGGTCCTCTAGGACACTTGCCCCCTCCTGCCTCTCTCTGAAACAACTGTCCACCGGGGCCACCGGGTCCCCCACCTTCACCCTGGCCATTCTTCCTCCACCCCAGGACAGCCAGTACCCGTGGAGCCAGAGGGTGAGCTTTGCCAAGGACATCGCGTCGGGGATGGTGAGTGAGCCGGGTGGTCCAGCCCTGCAGGGAGGCTTTGAAGGAGGCTGAGGGGTGGGGTGGAGAGTGGGAAGGATGCCCCCACTGGCCTGATTGGGGTGATGAGGGAGAGCTTCTGGGGGCTCAGGTGGGGCTGGGATTCCTCAGCCAGCCTCCTCCTGATGTCTGCCCCTCCCCTAGGCTTACCTCCACTCCATGAACATCATCCATCGGGACCTCAACTCCCACAACTGCCTGGTCCGTGAGGTGAGCCGGGCCCCGGCCGCTGGGCGAGGCGGAGACATAGGCGCCCAACCCACTCTGGCCTCAGGGCCTTCCCAGAGCTGGAGGCCCCTTGGGCTGCCTCCCACACCCCAATTTGGGACGGGGGCGGCGGGTAACAGCCTTTGGGGGAGAGCCCAAGGTCAGGAGGACCACAGGCCTGGGTTCGACAGGCTGTGCCATTGACTCAGCGTGGATCCGGTCCTCGGGTCGTCAGCACCCCAGGTTTTGAGGAGGGTCTGACAAATCAATGACACGAAAGCCGCAAAGGACTGGGATTGCGATCTTCACAGAGGACAGCCCACGGCAGGGTGGCCTCAGGCCACACCAGACATCATCAGTAGTTGAGGGTCCAGGATATGACACAGGCATGTGGGCTGGGGCAGTCAAGGCAGGCCTCCTGAAAGAGGAGGCTTTGGAGGGTTATACTTAAGTAGGGAGGTGGCAGCAGGGAGCCCGAGGTATAAGGGTTGGTGGTCGAGGGGACCCAGGCTCTCCGCCAAAGCAGAGGAGGGGTGCCCAAGTAGAGGGGAGTGTATTTGTGTCCTCGGGCTGCCATAACGTGTGACCACAAACCAGGCGGCTTAAAACAGCAGAGCTCAGGAATTCTGAAGTCGAAAAAGAAGGTGTTGTTGGCTGCTTCCTTCTGGAGCTCTGAGGGGGATATATCCCCAGCCCCGCTCCTGGTTCTCATGGCTGCCGGCAGTCCTTCACATTCCCTGGCTTGCAGCCACATCACTCCGGGCTCCGCCCCCGCCCTCACGTGGCCCTCTCCCTCTGTGTGTGTCTGTGTGTCCTCTGGAAGGCCATCTGTCGGAGGATTCGGGGCCCATCCTCTTCCAGCATAGCCTCCTGTCAACTAGTTACATCTGCAAGACCCTGTGGTATTTCCAAATAAGATTGTCCTCGAGGCTCCAGGTGGACACGGATTTGGGGCGTGGGAAAGACGCTATCACGACAGACGGGTTGAGATTCAGTGCAGAGGAGGAGCTTCCGCAGGCAGGCGTTTGTCGAGGGAATTCAGTACAGGAAGAGTTTCGAGTGGAGGGAATAGCACACGCAAAACCCAGAGGTGGGACATGCAGGAGATGAGAGCTCTCAGCTGTGGTAAGGAGGTTGGAGCCCGCCGTGAGTGTCCAAGCCATGGAGAGCAGTGGGCGGTGTCCGCAGAGTCAGGCAGGGCTGCCTCTCACCAGCCTCCCAGGGAACTGCTCATGTTGCCTGCAGGCTGAGCCAGTGTGTTGGGTAGAGCAGGGGAGAGGGCCGACCATCAGGCCTCCATCCCACAGCAGGGACTGTCCCTGGAGCATCTGAGAGTTGCGAAGCCTCCTGCCTCCTGTGCCCAACCAGAACCTCTGCCCACGACATAAGGCCTCTGGGAAGCCAGGAGATAGCCTTTGCTGGTCTCCCTAGGGCTGGGTTCTTCATAGCAGTCTTTGGGCCCCTGTGTCAGAAGACCCCGGGGGCTCATGAAAAGTGTAGATTCCCTGGACTGCCTGAGCCCACAGGTTCGAGACCCACCTGGGTAACTTGGCGAGACTTCATCTCTACAATAAATCAAAAATTAGCCGGGCGTGGTAGTGCGCACCTGTAATTTCAGCTACCTGAAAGGCTGAGGCAGAAGGATCGCCGGAGCCCAGCAGGTCGAGGCTGCGGTGGCCGGGAGCGGCCACTGCACTCCAGTCTGGGCGACAGAGTGAGACTCCAACTCAAAAAAAAAAAAAAGTATAGATTCCCAAGCCCCTCCGCAAGTCTTCCAAAAAGGATGGGGCCGGAACCAGCACTCTGCAAGCAGTCTTAGTGGACGCTGCCCTCTGAGAGCTACTGCTCAGCAGGGAGGAGGGTCCGACGATCCTGGGTAGGACCCCCAACCAGTCTTCCAGCTGGAAGTGAGGCGACAGAGCCCCTAGAGGGCCCAGTTTACCCGAGGCCTCACTGAGGTAGGCCTGGGGCATGTGGCCAGTCCCTCCACCTGCTGTCCTTACCTTTTTCTCGAGGTGACTGCTTGCTTGTGCTGCTTCCAGAAGCAGCACAGGGTTCTTTGTTCAGGAGCAGCCCGGTGGCCCTGACCCCCACCTGGCTGGGCCCTGCCTCTGCCCTCTCTGTACCTGTTCCTCAGTGCCTGTGCCACGGTGACCAACCCTGGGGCTGGAAGTAGGGTCCAGGCTCCCAGGGCCCCAGACACCAGTGTCTTAGTCTGTTTCCTGCTGCTGTAGCAGAAGGCCTGTGACTATGTAATTTGTAAGGAAAAGAAATGGATTTTTTATAGTTCTGGAAGCTGAGAAGCCCAGGGTCAAGGGGCTGCATCTGGTGGAGACTCTGCAGAGTCCCAAGGCGGTGCAGAGCGTCACGTGGCAAGAGGGGCTCACAAGGGACCGCCAAACTGGCTTCAGTCACAGACCCACTCTTGAGATAACTCACCGATTCCCTCAAAACCTGTTAATCCATGCAGAGCCCTCATAACCCAGTCACCTCCTGAAGGCCCCTCCGTTGATGCTGTCACAGTCATGAACTGCATAGTGACATTTTGGTCAGTGAGGGGCCACATATAACATTGGTGGTCAGAGCAGTAGGCTACACTGTCAGGCCTAGGTGTGTCGTGGACTCCCTCATCTGGATGTGTCCAAGTACACACAAGGGTGAAGTCACCTAGCGACACATTTCTGAGAACATCCCCATTGTGAAGCGACACATGGCTAGGCCTTGGGGATCAAGTTTCAACATGAGTTTCAGGGGACACAAGCATTCAAGCCGTTGCACCAAGTCCAAGCAGGCCCATCCCCATGACCTGTGGAGGACACGTTCAGCTCCCTGCATTGGCGCTGATGCCTGGGCTTTGGCCCTCACCGTCGACTCTCGGGAGGTCCCCTGACCAGGTCTTGTCTTGCTGGAGTGGACACAGCAGTCAGCGTGTTACTCTGTAGGGTTTCAGTCTGGGCCTGGGAGACCCCTGCAAACCCAAAGCTGTACAGCCAGACACTCCAAATTCTTGAGTTTGCGTCCTGGCTTTGTTGCTGACCAGCTGGGTGGTCTTGAGCAGCTTTCTTAACCTCTCTGGGTCTGAGTCACCTAATCTGTAAAGTGGGAATACAAATAACTGCAGTTTTTGTTTTTGAGAAACTTACCCATGGCAGGTCTTTCTGCCATGAATCTTCCTTTTTCCTTTTCTTCTTCTCACGAATAAACTCCGTTTAATGAGTAAGTAAATAAATAGCGTAGACCTCACCAGGTTGTTAGGAGAATTAGAGATGAAATCTGGGACGTGCCACACATAGGACCTGGGTCTCTAATGAGGATTCCTGTCTTTCTTTCCCAATGAGGCAGCGTCGGTCCCAAAGGGAGCAAAGGAGGTGCTTGGAGGAGGGGGCCGTGGGGGCACCAGAAAGGTTTGGGGAGCAGGTGGAGAGGGGGCCATGGGCACAGCACGTGGGGGGGCGGAGCCAGACTGGCGTTTCCAGGTGCTTCCGGCAGCTCCATTTGTCCAGAGTGGAAGGACTGGGGGAAGGGAGAGGCTCCCGGCTAGGAGCAGGCCAGGCAGGCAGCGCCAGGGTCGGGTCTCGGTGTGATCCTGCCTCATCTTCCAGAACAAGAACGTGGTGGTAGCCGACTTCGGGCTGGCGCGGCTCATGGTGGACGAGAAGACACAGCCCGAGGACCTGCGGAGCCTCAAGAAGCCGGACCGCAAAAAGCGGTACACCGTGGTGGGCAACCCCTACTGGATGGCGCCCGAGATGATCAATGGTGAGCTGGCAGGCCCCGCCCACCACAGCCCCGGTCCCGGCCCCTCCCGGCCTCCCTGTTCCCCCTGCGGGTCCCGCATTGGTCTCCTGTTGCTGGAACACATCCCCACATGCTTGGTGGCTTAACAAATGACCGTGCCTGCTGGAGTCTGAAGTCCAGGATCAGCCCCGCTGGGCCAAAACGCGGGCATCGTCAGGGCTTGCCCCTCTGGAGGCTCTCTGGGCAGAGCCCTTCTCCTGGCCTTCTCCGGCTCCTGGAGGCTGCCTCGTTCCTCAGCTCACGGCCCCTTCCTCCGTCTTCAGGGCCAGCAGCAAAGCATCTTCTCTCTGACCTCTGCATCCGTCCTCACATCTCCTAGATGCAGAGGTCAGAGAGAAGATGCTTTGGCCTTCCTTCTTCCAGTAAGGACCCTCTGGTGACACTGGCCCACCTGGACGGTCCAGGATGGTGTCTCCATCTCAGGACCCTTGGTGTAGTTTGACGTAGGTAGTGTAGCCCCCACATAGCTTTACCTGGAAAACAGTCTTAATGGTCCCTGTCTGTAAGGCGGAGTGTGAGGATCGGATAAAGGTAAAGCCTTGGCCACCTTGTTGACATTCAGTAAATGAAAGCAGCTCTCCTGATTGTTTTTAACATCATCCAGTAAATGGTATCATTCCCGTTTTACAGATGAGGAAACTAAAGGTTCAAAGAGTCTGTATCAGTTTCCTGAGGCTGCTGTAACAAGTTGTAGACTTAAAACAATAGAGGGTTATTCTCTCACAGTTTGAGAGACTGGAAGTCTGAAATCTGGCAGGGCCGTGCTCCCTCCCAGGATTCTAGGGCAGAAGCCGTCCCTTACCTCTCCCAGCTTCTGGATGTCTGACATTCCTGGGCTTGTGGCCACAGCAGTCCAGGCTCTGCCTCTGGCTTCTCATGGCCACCTTCTCCCCACCTTTGTGTCTTCTTCTGTCTCCTTATAAGGTCACTTGCGATGGCATTTAGGGCCCACTCAGATAATCCAGGACCGTCTCATCTCCAGATCCTTAATTTCATCACATCTGCAAAGACCCTTTTTCCAATACAGTAACAGTCACAGGCTCCAGGGGTTTGACGTGGTCGTCTTTTGTGGCCATGACTTGCCTGGAGTCAGGCAGCTGGTCAGTGACCCGACTGGGCTGGAGCCCCTTGCCCAGGGATTTCATCTTCACACTCAGAGCTCCCAGAGGGTTACCCAGACCTGGTAGGTTGGAGGGCAGAGCCTCAGCCCCGCTGCCCATGGAAAGTGCTGGCCTCATTCTTCATCTGACCTGGCCTGACACCCGCCGTTTGGCCTCCCTGGCCCTGCTTCGCCTGCTGACACCCTGTCTCCTCCTCCAGGACGCAGCTATGACGAGAAAGTGGATGTGTTTTCCTTTGGAATCGTCCTGTGCGAGGTAGGTCCAGGGTGGGAGAGCAGCAGTGGCATCAGGGCTCACAGCCCCTCTCCTCGGCTCTCCCCGCACTCCAGGCTGTGGGCTGGGAGGCCCTGGAGGCCTCAGACCAGGGAGGCTCCTGGAACCGGGCTCCTCCAGCAGGAGAGGGCCTGGCCCCCATGGGCTGTGGGGGTCAGGCCAGGCCAGGCCCGGGGCCACAGGCCCTCAAACCACCGGCCCGGCCAGGGAGCCCCAGAGTCACTGCTGGGTCTTGTGCTGGACAGATTATCGGGCGGGTGAACGCGGACCCCGACTACCTGCCCCGCACCATGGACTTTGGCCTCAATGTGCGAGGCTTCCTGGACCGCTACCTCCCCGCAAACTGTCCCTCGAGCTTCTTCCCCATTACCGTGCGCTGCTGCGATCTGGACCCTGAGAAGAGGTGAGTGGGGCTGGGCTGCCTAGGGGGTGGGGCTGGTCCCAGGACAGCCAGACCCACCCCCTGCCCCCCTGTCACCCAGGCCCTCCTTTGTGAAGCTGGAACACTGGCTGGAGACCCTCCGCATGCACTTGGCCGGCCACCTGCCGTTGGGGCCGCAGCTGGAGCAGCTGGACAGGAGCTTCTGGGAGACCTACCGGCGTGGCGAGAGCGGACTGCCCACCCACCCTGAAGTCCCCGACTGAGCCCAGCCCACCCAGCTGCCTGCCCCTCCTCCGGAGAGTCCACCCTCACCAGATTCTGCTGCCGGAGGTGGCCAGGTGTGGCGCTCTTAGACGGGGCTGCGGGCGCCCATATCCCTCCCCAGAGTCGGGCCCTGACTGGCCTTCTGTCACCCTGTGGACCGCGCCTCCCCCCCGCCCTCTGTCCACCTGGCTCCAGAGCTGGCCCAGCTGCACACCCACCGTCCCTTTGCCCTGCTGTAACCGCTGTCTTGGCGGGGCTGCCCCTTCTCGCTTCTTGCATGAGCTGGAGGGCCCGTGTGATTGCACCCCATTCCACACGCCGCCGCCCCCTGGTCATCCTGCGCACACTGCACCTGTCTGCAGCTCTGAGGCTGGGCGCCAGCAGGGTGCCAGCAGGGCACACACCGAGGGGGAGGCAAGTTCCCAGGAGCCAAATGGGGAGTCCGGGGCCCATTTCCCCCTTCGGGGGAAGGGGTGTCTAGGTAGCAGCAGGTATTGACAATTATCCAAACCCCCAGAGCAGAGAGGAGTCTGAGCCTACGGGCGGAAGTCCTGTTGGCTAAGTGGCCGCCCTTTCTCTCGCTGTGGGTCTTTTTTGTTTCTTTCTCAAAGCCACTTTAGTGAGAAGCAGGTACCAGGCCTCAGGGTGAAGAGGGGTCCCTTGAGGAAGAGGGGAGCTGTAGTGCCTCGGCCAGTGCTCCTGGGGAGAGGCCGGCCCAGGCAGAGGGAGGTTGGGCAGAGCGGAGGAGGTGGGTGTCCACCAGCAGCCCAGCCCCCGCGGTCATCTCATGCCCCTTCCTAGACCTCTCCCCCAAGGCTCCCTGCCCCCCCCTCGTGTCCCTCTGTCCTCTGGGTTCTTTCTGTGTAATCTATTTTTTAAGAAGAGTTTGTATTATTTTTTCATACGGCTGCAGCAGCAGCTGCCAGGGGCTTGGGGTTTTATTTTTTTGGCGGGCAGGGGCGGGAGGGCCATTTTGTCACTTTGCCTCAGTTGAGCATCTAGGAAGTATTAAAACTGTGAAGCTTTCTCAGCACTTTGAACCTGGAAAAACAATCCGAACAGGCCCATGGGACCACGACTTAGGAGGTGGGACACACCCACCCCCAACCAGGAACCGTGATGTCCAAGGAACAAAACCCAGACACAGAACAATAAAATACCATGCTCCCCAACCCCGTTCTGTGTGGCGATGTCTGTCGGGGGGCGCCCCGAGGAAACGGTCCTGACGAGGGAGGCGTTAGAAGCCTGATGAGAGGACAGGGATGCAGGGGCAGTCGGGACACGGGGCAGGGGAGCGCCTGGCACGGCCCTGTTTTCCATGGAGCTGAGGTGGTAGCCCAGCCAGGACAAGTGAAGATCCAACAGCCAGGTTGGGGCGACCAGAGGCATATTTAGGGATATACTGCTTTCTTAATATTTTCTTCTAAAACTAAAGGGGCCTATCAGGAAAACAGGGGCTGGATATTGTGGTTTCCGCCTGTAATCCCAGCACTTTGAAATGCCAAGGCAGACTCTCTGGTGGCCAGGAGTTCAAGACCAGCCTGGGCAACATAGCAAGGCCCTATTTCTACAAAAAATTTTAAAATCAGTGAGGTGTGGTGGTGCATACCTGTAGTCCCACCTATTCAGGAGGTTGAGGCTGGAGAATCTGAAACCCAAGAGTTGGAGGCTGCAGTGAGCTATGATTGTACCATGGCACTCCACCCTGGGCAGTAGAACGAGAACTTGTCTCAAAAAAGAAAAGGAAAACAGAAACCACATAGTTATTTCACATATAGGGCATTTAATATGGGGAATTGTTTACACAGGGGTTGAAAGACAGTGGAAGAGCAAAAAGTGGATACTGAGATAACCCAGAGATGATTGCAGGAAGCAGCGACCACCCCTGGGCTAGGAGATTTAAGGAGAGGCGGTCACTTGAGTTACCTAAGTAACAGATCGTGGCCAGGCTCAGTGGCTCAGCCTGACATCCCAGCACTTAGGGAGGCCAAGGCGAGTGGATTGCCTGAGCCCGTGGGTTCAAGACCAGCCCCAGGCACTTGGCAAGACATCGTCTCTACAATAAGTCAAAAATTAGCCGGGCGTCTGTAGTTTCAGCTACTTGGAAGGCTGAGGTGGAAGGCTTGCTGGAACTCAGCCGGCCGACGCTGGGGTGGCCGTGAGTGTGCCACTGCACTCCAGCCTGGGCGACAGAGACTCCAGCTCAAAACACACACAGACACACACACACCTAGACTTGGTGGCTTAAAATAATAATGCTTGCTGGGCTCGGTGGCTCAGCCTGTAATCCCGTGCCATTGGGAGGCTGATGTGAGTGGATTGCTTGAGCCTGTGGGTTTGAGACCTGCCTGGGCATGCAAGACCACATCTCTACAATAAAATTAAAAAAATTAGCCGGGCGTGGTAGCACGCACCTGTAATTCCAGCTACTTGGAAGGCTGAGGCAGAAGGTTTGCGTGAGCCTACCAGGCCGAGGCTACGATGGCTATAGGCATGCCACTGAACTCCAACCTGGGCAACAGAGTGAGACTCCAACTCAAAGTAAATAAATAAAATAAAAGAGAAGTAGCATCAACCCTTGTCAAAATCTTTCAAAAACAAGAGGAACTCTTCCTAACTCATTCTGTGAGGCCACCATTACCCAGATACCAAAGCCAAAGACACCAAGAAAACATTTCTTACGCAGATAGATGCAAAAATTCTCAACATCATAAGAGCAAACGAAATTCGGCAGTGTATTAAAATGCCATGACCAAGTGGCATTTGTCCCAGGAAAGCATGGGTGGTTCAACATATGAAAATCAGTCAACGTAATACACCACATTAGTAGAATGAAGTGGAAAAATCACATGATTGTGTCCATTGATGCCCAAAAAAAGCATTTGGCGAAATTGAACACCCTTTTCCAATTTAAAAAAATCAAGCCGGGCTCGGTGGCTCAGCCTGTAATCCCGCACCTTTGGGAGGCCGAGGTGAGTGGATTGCCTGAGCCTGCGGGTTCAAGACCCGCCCGGGCAGGTGAGACCACATCTCTACAATAAATCAAAAAATCAGCCAGGCGTGGTAGCACGCGC